AATCTTCAAATCGAGTTTTAGATGCATACACTTTCCTACAGATATTTCTCTTAAATCCTCATCGCTAATTAAAATGTAGATAGATACGGAAAGCGATTCTGCTATGTATTCATATAATTGAAATGTTACAATTGTGCAGAAGTTTAATAAATAATTACTGTTTTAGATCGAACAAGCATGATCGTAAACAGCTGTATATGACGATCGTTTTCCTGCGTGTTGCATACGAAGTAAAAAAACGCTCGTCTATGGGCTTATACAAACTCCATCTTTGTCAACCTTAGCCACTATCTTTCAATTACTGTATCAATCGAGCTTTCATCTTATTGAGCATTTCGTTGAAGTTACGACTTATTCCTGTCACATTCTAAACAAAAGACGCGGTTCTTTACGACTAATACTTATATTTCGATAATATATAACTATAGTAAAACAACTTCGATGAAATAAAGAAATAGAGTGCTGGGCTTAATGAGTACTGAAACTCCAAGAATAATAAAGAGATATTTGATCAGAAACTGCCTCTTCTGTTGTTTCTTGTGTGTATTTTATATTTGGACACATAATTAAATAAATCTATGTAGATATTAACCTCAGTTGTTAACTTATGACTTCTTTAAGAAGTTAAAATGACTGCGTACAGAACGGCCTAGACAAAACAAATATACGTTCGGACTTCATTATCTTTTCTAGAGGATTGTTTAAATCAATCCGTTTCATAATTCTACTCTGAAGATCAAGGAGACAGTCTTTTGTCGAATGAAATACTGAAGAGCTATATAGCTCCACCGCCTATAGTTAGAACAAGAAAAACTAAAGAAAATATTATCGAATACACAGCATGTATGACTTAATCTCCACACAAAGATTTCAAAGCAGAAGATTGGTTGAAACCGATTTGTTAAAAGAACTACATAGCATAATTAGTTAAATGAAAATACCGTCACTCGAGCACCGTGTTTGAGCAGCCAGGCGATGTATTCATAATCTTTATGCTTTACAGCATGGTGCAGCTAAAAGACAACAACATCATATAGTTAATATTTTTAAATTTTAAAGTGGTTACCGGTGTTTGGAACTCGTCATCCAATGCGTGAATATTTGCATTGTGTTTATGTAAGAAGTTCAACAAATCTAGAGAGTCCTACACAAGCAATTCTGAATAGAAGCTGTACATAATCAGATATTGCACACTTACTTTTGTACGTTCACGACGACGAGCAAACATATGAAGTACCGTTTCCTTATTGATTCCGGGAATATTGATATCTAATAACATTCTTGATGAAAAAAAAGCAACAAAATGTTTTATACATCATACCACATTTCTTATCCACCAGAAGTTTCTCGCAGACATGGACATTAGAGTGTAACACAGCATAGTGTAATGCGCAGAGTAGATCGCCGTCCAGTGATTGAAGAAATTTGCGCTCTTGATGAAGATGAAGTTTCGTATGTAAATTGCGTCTGTTTTCAGCTGATTGATGATGACGTCGATTGTAACATATAGGTTGATCAATCACACGGTCATAATTGGGGTCTCGTTCAAAATCCTCCCAACTGAGATTACCGATAGCAACCTGAAACGAAAAGATCGTTGCTCCTGATTATATGCTCTATTTATAAGCTATTCTAATCTTCTGTATATCACAATTCTTATGACTGTATTTAAATTTCACACTATATTGACTAGGATGTGTGTAGATGTAGTTGCGAGGCACTGACAATAATCGCACTCACCCACACCCTCACGATTGAGGAAAGCGGTACCCATAGTGGCGATGAAGTGCAGTTAAAATAAAAAGGTTGATTTTCTTATGACTCGTCATCGCGAAGTGTTGACATCGCAAAGCATGTCGACAAAAACTCACAGCTTAACTCTGAAAGCGAAGAAATTCTAAAATTTTATATGGTTCACTCATACAGCCTTAGTAAGGCTACGTGTGGATAAAAAATCGCATTAGAAAAACGTTGTTAGAACGGAGGACGCTTTCGATAAGACCCAAAGTTCGATTAAAAAGTAATATAGTACAATGACATCAATTTTTCTCAGTTCATTACCTGACGCAACGTTGCTTGAAGTTGTTCCTCGACGTTTTCTTTAATTATAGATACATTGTCAAGCATAGTCGGGAACAGAGGACTCCGTTCAAATCCCATGTCAACAATTGTTGGTGAACTAGCAGAAGATTGAACACCCCCTGCGAGCACATTTGATGGTTCACGAGAGACCGACTGTACGATAGACGGTCGAGGTTTAACATTAATTTTATTTGAAGACATAGCCACTGAAGAGTTATCTATCCTTTCAATATTTTCTGCGTAATAAGTAGTCACACAGTGTCTACCGATTTTATTTTAAGACTGTGGTGAATATAAACACTCCACTATACTTCTTTCTCTTTATGAGATGGCAACGATGTAAGAAAGAAAAAAAATTTTCCCGGAATGGTAACTTTTTATTTTACTTCTGGAGTGTTATCCATTCTTTTAATATTTTCTACGTAATGAGTAGTTACACAGCGTCTACCGATTTTATTTTAAAACTGTGGTGATTGTAAACACTCCACTACACTTATTTCGCTTTATGAGATGGCAACGATGTAAGAAAGAAAAAAAAATTTTCCCGGAATAGTAACTTTTTATTTTGCGACTGAAGCGTTACCCATTCTTTCAACATTTTCTCCGTAATGAATAATTTAAGAGCGTCTACCGATTTTGTTTTAAAACTGTGGTGAGTGAAAACACTCTACTACACTTCTTCCTCTTTATAAGATGGCAACGATGTAAGAAAGGAAAAAAGAATTTCCCAGAATGATAACTTATCACTTAGTTTGTGCTTCGATACCGACAAATAAAAAAATACCGAAGAAAATAAATCACAAAATAAAACAACAAACACTAATGTTCGTTGTCAGGGTGCTGTCAACATATCTGTTACAAGAAAATACCGAAAAGAAAAAATCCGGAAAAATATTACTTAAAGTTTATTAATCATAGAAGACATAACAAGTAAAAGGTGTGGACAAATTAGATAGAATCTGATAAGCTTATTTCTTTGGAGCCATCAGTAGTGAGGGCCCAACGAGAAGCTCGGGCCGATCGATGTCGTCGTTGTAGTAGCGGATGTTCAGCGTGTGAATATGGTGTGAGTATGGATGCGGATGGGTGTGAGGAGGTGAGTGAGGGTGAGTGTAGGTGTGGATGTATAGGTATCGACTACTCTGCTTACACACCCACACAGACACCGTCAAAATACTGAAAAGTTCCTCAGTTTAACTAAGCTTCTAATTTACTGAATCAATAGTCAAAGTATCAATGATATAGCTTATTTAACCATTTATTCACGTTCTTACAATTGTAAAGTGAAGGATATTTGCAACATTTCGATGAGGAAGTGGATGATCCGAGATTTTTGACAGTTTTAAACACGCCTTCCTCTTTTCCACAGCAAATTAATTCTTTCAATGAATGAGGAAAAAAGATCAGTAAGTGAAATTTTTCATAATAACCTGAGGAGATAGGACGATTTTATCTTTTCTTAACTTATATTCACACCCACACCCTGCCAAAGCTTATAGTTCCGGTCATTTTTTGAGAATTGCAGGTCACTAGTTTCTTTCTTGCATTGAATAAGCTCAAAGAAGAAAGGAATAATTAGTTATGCTAATGTTTCAAACGAATAAATTCATTGATCGTCATTCAGTTTCTAGAGTAAGATACGAAATTTACTAACGACAAAAAAAAATGAAGTAGAATATGTTCAAGTTGCTTTTTCAAGAAATGAAACAATTAAATGTGTCGACATATGTATGTTCATAGTATCTCAAGCAGATCCGTGTCCCTCATTGCTACAATAATATTGGTATATTTTTGACAAGATCAGCTGTGCAATAGCTTTATTTCAACAAAAACTTCGCATTGACAAAAAAATATTAATACTTGCACGCAAAAAATATATATAAACTTTTTGAATTAAATTTGCACGAAAAACACAGCAGAATATATGACAAAAAAAATCAACAATATTGTGTGAAATTGTCTTTTTCATAGGCCACATATTTTAAATACAACTACAATTCTACCGAAAACAGAAAAGTATGATTAAAAACAAAAATAAATAGAAACACAAAAAATAAAAATGAATGGAATATTACAAATTAAAAATAAAAAAAGGGTATGAGTGTGGGTAAGTGTGAACGAACGTGAGTATATACTCTTTCTATCCATTCGCACGTCCACACTCACACCCATCTGATCTAATAAGTGATTGTTGTTGCGAGATGTCACTGAATTTCAGACAAACAATATAAATAAATAAATAATGGTTGCATTTTTGGTGAATATGAAATTTATTGGCTACATTTACATAATGTGAAAGATGATGAAGTGACGCAGAATGAAAAATTCTCTATCAAGTGTTTACAATGCTGCTCAAGCAGACAAGCGCCGAAAAAAACGCGAAATAACGCGTTAAAATTTTAACTGAAATAAAATCCTCAAAAAGCGCACATTTTAAAGCATCGAAAAAAATTTTTTTTTCAAGAAAAATAAGTTCGAACAAAGAAACTTCCAACAACTCGCTTTTTTGTGACAGAATTGTTTTTCAGTGTGTTAAAATTTGCGCTTTTTACGCTTGAAGATGTCGTTTTTTTCGTTACTTGTTTGACTGAGACATAAGTTTCTGACCGAAAATCAATTAGAGTAGAAAATAAGCGATTCTGTTTACAACAACTTAGTTTAATTAATTAGATCATTACTAACTGAAAGGACTACCAACTGAGATGGATGCGGCTGTGAGTATTTCTACCTTTAGCTTACATCCACACCCTATCTTTGGCATTATTCATATATGCTCAGTTTTCTAGAACCTCATTGATAAGGTTCGCGTGGACAAAAACAACTTTCTAATATTACATTTCTTTTTCAGATTAGTGAAGACTTGACGAAGTCAATTTCAGAATTTTCATTGTCATTAGTTTTCAATTAGATCAATTTGAATGGCATATACACAGGTACATCCATTTAGTGCACCTAATCAACCACAATATCAACCACAATACCAGCCACAATACCAACCACAATACGAACCACAGTATCAACCACAATACCAACCAAGGGCCCAACAGTTTGCTGTAACAAATCAACCACAATACCAACCACAGGTCCGTCCATTTCATGATTTTAATAATAACTGGACGGTGGGCTTGTGTGAGTGTTGTAATAATTGCGGTCAATGTAAGTCATATAGTATTAGATGATGAACTTATTAACTAAGAATTACTAATAACTTTCAGGTTGTTATGCTTATTTTTGTTGGTGTTGTTTTGTTGGATCATTAGCTAAAGATATCGATGAATCCATATGTTCATGTTGTTGTCTTATGAATGTACTTGCAGTTTATCGCATGAAAGTTCGATCTGTTCTTAAAATTCGAGTAAGTTTTGATTTATTTTGCTCATTTGTAATTTATTTCTTACAAAAGGGTGATTCATGTTCGGATTGCTGTGTTGTATGCTGGTGTCCATGTTGTGCTGCTCTTCAAATGCGCAATGAATTAAAAAATCGTGGCATGGCATAATCGAGATGGAACAACTCAAAAAATTGACTTAAATAACAATTTTGTTTTTTGAATCGATCAAGTTTTCTATCTTTTGAGAAGAAATTAAATTACATTCTCCTGAGATCTTGCGAAATGTAATATTAAGTACTTTTTAACAATGAAAAAATAGTGCCTAAGGCTTCACACAGGACAAGCAGTACGATAATTATAAACGATCGTATACAACATCGTATGTAGTGATGCATGTTCCTACAACGTGTAAATTACGATTGTATTTCGTGAGGGTGTGGGTGTGGGTGTCATCTTCTGTGCTTCCATACCCACTCTCAAAATGTGAGAATTCATCTACTTAAAACAATGAGAGAAAAGATTCATGCCTATTACTATGCAGAAAAAAACAAATACAATGAAGCGAAATAAAAATTTCGGCGAAAAGGTTGTATTTCGACTGTTTTCGAATCCATTCTCATTCTAAGAATTTGAAGATCAAAATAAAAAGCAATGAAATATCCATGTCAGCATGCGGGTGCCGGCGCAGGCGCATGTGTGGGTGTGGCTAAGGATAAGGAGAACACCCACACCCTCATCTGGGCGTCAATGCTTACAGAGTCAGGGTCACTTCACTTGTGTATTGACTTTATGTTATTTTTTTGTAAGTTGGAAAAAACCTATCAATGGCAGCTAACAAAGTGCGTCATTTTCTGCTGGGTGTGGGTGTTTTCTTCTTTGCTTCCACACCCACCCACACCCTCACCCCGCCATGAGAAAACTTTATTAAGTTACTCGGAGAAATTAGAAGCAAAAACATGAATAATTCGATGCATAATAAGGTTCTACTTACAAGTAGAGCAATATTTCATAAGTTATAAAATTATGCAAAATATTTTCTCTAAGTTTTTCCTAAACTAAAAGTGGGTTTCGTTGCATATGTTTAGACGATGACAGGAAGTTTTATTCAATATTTGTGCTTAGTATAGTTAATATTATAGAAAATAAGATATTGTAAAAACAAAAGATGATTGAAAATTACTTCCACACGTGTAGAGAGATATAATATATGTCTTTTATATTTCCTTTCAACAACGAAGAAAGTATTTCACGCATGATTTCAGTTTGTTTCAGAGAAAAACTCATTTATTTTTCTTCTCATTTAACTATAGACATATATTAGTAGGGACAGAAACGAGCAAAAATAACAGTATAATGTTTCCTTTTTCTCAAAGACAAAACAAAGAATGGGTTGTTTTCATATAATATATTACCGGTGAAGTTTTTCTTACAAAACATACAAAGAGTCAATCAGAATCCAGAGAAACAAATCGCGAAGGTTTCTGTTTAGTATTTTATACAAAATGTTCTGATCAAGCAGAACTACAACAAAAATTCGATATTTGACGTAAGATATTTTTATGTTTGGTGAAAATACGGTTTTCATTAGAATAAATGTTTCAAACCTTCGATTTTTTTCTCTATTAATCTGTGAAGATGTGTGTTGCTACATATCAAACTGCTCATTTCCTTGTTGTTTGCTTGAACGGTTTTCAGAGAAGACTCATTTAAATTCTTATGCTTCTTATTATTTTTCTAACAAATAGTGTGAATACAAAGTGAAGTTTGTAATATAAATTTGTCCCTGAAATATTTTAGAAAAATAATCACAATGATTCATTTCAAATTCAAACAATTATTGTGGATAACTGTACTATTTAACAGGTAAGTATATTTTCATCTTATCAAATGATTTTATTCATTCTCTGTATAGATTTTCGACGGAAAAATGTATCGCATTATCTATATGTCCTACGGCAATATGGCAACGAAATGCTGTCATGGTAATAGGAGATGATGCATCACTGCTTCGAAGACCAACGGATGTCTATATTGATAACAATAATTCTATTTATGTATTAGATTCTGGTAATTATCGTGTACAACGTATATCTTTCAATTCCACTGTTGGAACAACTATTATCAATAGTAGTAACGGTAGTGATGTCAATCAATTTCTTTCTAGTAAGTTCAAAAATATTATTTAAATAAAATCTAATGTATATATTTCATTTGCATAGTGAATGCGATGAGTATTGATAAACATGGAAATATTTATATACTTGATGGTGATAATGGACGAGTTACAAAATGGCAACAAGGAAGTTCTAATAAAACAGTTGTAGCAGGTGGAAATGGACTTGGTAATAATACTAATCAATTAAATCGGGCTAATGGAATGTTTATCGATTCAAATACATCGACGATTTGGATTGCAGATACGAACAATCATCGAATAGTGCAATGGTTATCACCAACTAACAGCAGTGTTGTTTGTGGAAGTTATGGAAGAGAAAATAATCAATTTATGTATCCAACAGGATTGTTTATTGATACAAGTGATTCAAATACACTTTATGTTGCAGACAATTATAATCATCGAATTCAAATGTGGTTATTAGGTGCCATAAGTGGAAAAACGGTAGCTGGAATCACAGGTTATTATGGTAATGGTCTTAATCAATTATGGTATCCTGAAGCAGTAATGGTTGATAACAATCAAAATATGTATATTGTTGATTATTGGAATGATCGAATTTTGAAATGGATGATTGGAGCATATTCAGGTATAATTATTGCAAATGGAATTGATTTAGATACAGAATCATTTCAATTTCAATATCCAGCAAATATTAATTTTGATTCAAGTGGATCGTTATTTGTTACAGATACATATAATAGTCGAATTCAAAAATTTGTTTGTTCTTGTCGTAAGTTTCATTAATAACTTTTATTTGTTCAATGTGTTCGATATTTTTACAGATGTATCAACAAATGTTTCAACCATAATCGTTCCATCGATAACAACACCAGGTGAGAGTTATTCTATTAAAAAACTATAGATAATTGAAATAACTTTTAATTGTATTTTTTCAGCACCGAATTTAAATACAAGTTGTTCAATGACAACTTGGTATTCTAATGCTTCGACTATTGCTGGTTCATCACTAGGTCTACCTGATTATACATCAACATCTCTTTCACACCCTTATGATATATTCATTGACAAGAATAATATGCTCTATGTTTTGGATTCTTCAAATTATCGAGTACAACGTTTTCAGTCATCATCGACTATTGGAACAACAGTAATCAATGTTAGTTATTACGTTCTTGAACTTCATCAATTCATAACCTGCAAGTCTTAACTATTGACAATTGATATGTAATATTTTTTTTGTTTATTTTAGTGAGTGCAATTAGTGTAGATATAAGTGGCAATATTTATATTCTTGAAAGTGAGAATAATCGTGTGACGAAATGGAAACCTGGTATTACAAATGGTATGATCGTTGCTGGTGGAAATGGTAATGGTGTTTCTGATAATCAATTGAATAATCCTTATGGAATATTTATCGACTCAAAATTAACCATCTGGATAGCAGATACAGGTAATAATCGAATAGTTCGATGGGAAACTAATTCCACAGGTATTATCATTTGTGGAAGTTATGGAACAGAAGCAAATCAATTCAATCATCCAACTGGAATATTTGTTGATGAGAATGATGGAAACACTTTTTATGTTGCAGATAACAATAACCACCGAATTCAAATGTGGTCATCAGGTGCTATAAGTGGAAAAACAGTAGCTGGACAGACAGGTCTTTGTGGAAATCAACTTCAACAATTGTGTAATCCATCATCAGTAATTGCAGATAGCTATAGAAATTTATACATTGCAGATACCTATAATAATCGTATTATGTTATGGATGAAAGGATCAACTGCAGGTGTAGTCATTGGTGGAGGTTCAACATTTGGAGTATTACCAAATCAACTATTTTATCCATATAATATAAAATTAGATTCAGATGGAGCTTTGATTGTTGCCGATACTAAAAACAATCGCATTCAAAAATTCTCCGTTTTATGTTGTATGTTTGAAATATTTTTTATAATTTCATCAATATCCCTTTCTATATTTAGATAAACAAACAGCATCCGGAGGAATATCATATGTTTCTGTCAATGTTTGTTTCCAATCGTTATTCGTAATCTTTTCTTTTATTATATACATCTTTGAAATTTAATCTTACTTTTTGCTTTTAATATCTAATCCTGCATTGCTTTTCTTTTCGTAATAATAAACATCCTTTGGAGATGTGGATATTATATTCATCTCGCATTTATATCGTCAAGATTAATTTTATTACAAATAAATTATTACATTGATCCTTTTATCACTATATCTAGCACTTGTATTATGCGCTGTTTGCTAATATCAATCATTGTTTTTCTTCTCGGATTGTTCGAGAGGGTGTGGGTATGTTAAATTAAAAAATAAATAAAAGTTAGAACCTGCCGAACCATTTCATCTGTTCACGACAAATATATATTATTTTCGAAAGAATGTATCCATCTTGAGGGTGTGGGTGTCATCTACTTTGCTTCCATGCCCACACTCATACCCAATCTTTAAAAAATGAGAATTCATCTGCTTAAAACAATGAAAGAAAAGAATCATGCCTATTGTGATGTTGGAAAAAAGAAATACAATCAAGCGAAGTAAAAATTTCGGCGAAAAGATTGTAGTTCTACTGCTTTCGAATCCATTCTCATTCTGAGAATTTGCAGATCAAAATAAAAAGCAATGAAACACCCATGACAGGGTGCCGGCGCATGTGTTGCTGTGGCTTAAGATAAGGAGACCACCCACACCCACACCCACACCCTTTTTATCAACAAAATAACTTTATGTTTACGCTTATTTCTCTCTTTATTTTTATGTTATCATTCTAAACGTTTATTTTCTCTCTACATTTATAAAGAATCATTCTTTTATTTACTTTTTATATAGTTCTTATAATGGAGTTTTTGCTCCAGTAAAATCTGCCTCTTCCATGAGACACCATGCACAGAAATATTCTTTGGAATCAACTGTAAGTTTGTAAGGCTGAAGATCTTTCCTCAAATACCAGTAAAGTTCATCAGCTTGTTTTATGGCGTAATTTCTACTATCAGTCAATTCAACAGACCAATGTTGACTAGTCGATCTATGATCAGTCTGGTTAAAACCGAGATAATTAGTTAAAAACAAGTGATCTTGTCGGATCAAAAAATTGAGATGTTATTCGATAAATGTTTGGTGTTACGCTCTCTACTGGTATAAAACGAAACAATCGCATTACATCAGGGTGTGAGGGTGTTAGCGACGGCGCAGGTATATGTATTGCTTAACTCTATGTACTCAAACATGAATTCAGACTTCGATATCCGCGAGAAAATGCTTCGGCGAGCAACTGTCCTAGACCCTATTAATTTATCTTGCTTGTTTAGTTTTACTCGCTGTTCTGATGATCGAAGAATTAGTCACACATTGTTTTTTTTGTTTTTTCATTAACTTTGCCAATATAGATGTCTTCCGTATTAAAATATCTCATAAGTGTACTGAATTCTCACATCTTGGATGTGGATGTGCATAATACATTGAGGGTGTGAGTTTGATTGTCTTTGTTTTTCAATCCACACCCACACCATCAAAACAACGTCTAAGAGAATGGGCAAAACAACAAGAAGAAAGACGAATGAGAGAAAATATCATGTTCAGTTCTCTTCACACTTTATCGAATTGAATTAATTATCAAAATGAGAAACTCTTTTCTAATATTAAACTCTAATAAATATTATTTGCCGTCAAAGAAAAATTAATCTTGATGCGAAAACGTTTAAGTCAAAATAGACTTTTTAATTATTTTTGAATGAATAATTTTCAAGAGAAAAAAACGTGTGCAAAATAAGGTTTAATATTATCTAACGAAAACATCGACAAATGGTCAGAAGAAGCTTATCTCGAGATTTTCAGTAAGAAAAAACCTATTCTATACAAGTCCGATATTTTGGATAAAAATCCTGTGAAAATCTAGTAGAAGAATCCTATGTAGTCCTATATTCTGACGAGGGGCCGCTACGAAGTCTGTTAATAATATTCGTCGTCGAGGTTTTACACATGTGATTGTTGGTACAACAAGCCGAACTATCCGGCGTATCTATGAGGCAAAATTGAACAGCAATCTATGGACCAATGTATAGTTTAAAAAAATGCAAATCGCGATGATTATCATCCTCTTGAACAGTTTGATGGTAACATCTCATTTATTGTACTAGATCTTTAAGACAAGAGAACAGTCCAGACGAGAGTCGCGTACCCTTTACGCTGTGCTCTTTTATAACAGATAAATAGCAAATAAAAATAAGGAGTAGCTGAGAGGATCAAAATAAACTTTGGTTCGTTGTAGATTCTGATTAAGTTTGTATTTATTTTATCTTCTGCGGACGAGTCGGTCATATTTTTAGTATCTATCTCCGCACCGGGAGTTCAAGACTTTTTGAATAAACGGCCGGAAAGAGTGTAGCAATTCTGACTGTTTAAAAACAAATGTGTTCAAATGATAGTTTAGTAGAAATTTCCATGAAGTGAAAATGGTATTGGTGCCGGTAGATAGGCTCTAGTTATTTCTTTGAAAGTAATTCCATCTAATAAGAGTATAAATGATTTGTTTGTTTGTTGTTCGAAAATAATAGTTAGAACAATTCCATCATCTTCTTCGGTTGACTCTGGTTTGGGAGCAAAAACTGGTTCACAAGGAGATGTACATGATTCTTGCCAAAAGCCACATATTTGACGCGTTTGCATATCAATTTTGACTAATGCATCCATCATATAATTTGGAGGACCTCGAACTGCATAAACATAACGATAGAATTGTCCTATATAACGAGAATTTATTCTAGGAAATTCAATTTGTACCGGAACAAGACTATTCATATGACTAATTGGATGCGCTATTTGTTGACCTTTAGGTAATTGTTGAAGATTTTTATAAGGTTCTGAGCATTGTTTCGTATCTAAATTGAGATGAAATCGTCTAACATAACCAAAACCAGATGGAAAGAGATTTTGACGAACTTTATTTAAATAAAATTCATCAACAATTCGATTATCATCATAAGTACACATATCAATTACAATTTCATTTCCATTATTTTCATTTATTTGATAAGCATTTATATGGTGAAATGTAAAAAATGCTGGACCTGCTATACGTGCTACTTCTTCACCATTGTCTAAACGAATGATTCGAAAATATGTTGGTAGAGAAGGATTCCATTTAAACATATTTGTTACTACATCACCGGTAAGTATTGTTCGAATTGTATTAAATAAAGAAAAATGTGAAGGAATCTCTGATAAAATCAAATAATCTTCACTAATTGATGCACTATGCATATAAGAAGCAGAATCAGTGTAATAGTAACGAAAGGTTTTTGTGTTTGATCTGATTAGTTGATTATATCTTTTACCACGTTTATTCATATTGTTATTTATTAAAATAAATCTACCTTCATCAACATTTTCATCATCATCATCATTATCATCAATATTATTATGTTCATCTTTGTCTATATTGAAAATAAAAGTATAAGATTAATTTTAGATAATAATTTCAAATGATCTATTTTTCATGAAACGAAAAGTTATTGTAGTATTAGTTCTAGTTCATTTTTTTTCAGGTATATTTTATAATCGTAAAAGTTCGAGAAATTGAACGCTGTTGGAATAGGACAAAAGTACTATATTCAAATAAGAAGAGATTATGAATATAACATACCAGTTTTGTTCAACTTTGTATTATCACTAGAATGATTTATATCATCATCAGATATGAATAAAACATCTAACCATTGTCCATGTAATAGTGATATTCTTGTAGCGTAGCTTACAGTCATTTTTCTTTTTGAGTCGTACATTACATGAGATGCAGTTAATGTCAAAATTTCTGTTGGTATTGGTTTTGTAAATGGTAGCGAAGTTAGAGATGCAACTGTTTCTAATGTTTTTTCATCGATTACATAACCTACGACGATTTCTGTTAGAGCTAATAATTCATTATTTACTCGTTGAATAGTTACAACAGTATTATCAGAATATGTTTCTGGATTAAGTGGTGAAAATAACAATTGAAATCGACCAAATAAACTTTTGCAGGGATCAGTAGCAAATTGTCTTGTAACGAGACATCCACGTTTCAATGATTCTTTATATGTACGAGATTTAATAAAACGACTTTGAAAATAAATTGTATTCTTTTCTCCATCGATATCATATTTATTTATACATGCAAATCCATCGAATGGATGATTAACACTGGCATCAGGATTATTGTTCAATTCAAATTGTCCAGGACCATTGCGATATAAACAACCTTTAAACCATGAAGGTAATTTAGTATTCACGTTCAATTTTACTGGATCATTGAATTCTTGTGCACTGCTGAAAAGAGATGCATTATCCCATTTCTCTTGATTGCAACTTGGGAATGATTGAGCCATACGTTTTTTCGACAATACTTTACGAATCTAGAAAAAAGAAATAACCATTTTGTATCTAGACATGTGCCGAGCCCCATCTAATTGAAAAATTTTAAAAATGTGTTAGAAAATCTGAATTCTTTTTATTAAACGAAAAAACACATTTTTCTTGCGTTATCTCTATATATTTTAACTAAGTGTCACATGGGACATATTTACACATACACCATTTGAAACAGATATCTCTTTCTTGCAGAATGAAATGCAAAGAAAGATAAGTAATATTTCTATTTCTTTTCAAACAAACAATAATATTACGATACGAATAATACGTTCCTATTTATAATAGACAAAAAGTAATATGTTGAAGTGATGATAATATACATCTATCATGCTTCATTGGTTGTAATGATTGTGCGAACTCTTCAAATGAATTAATAGCTAATTCTATCGAACTAGATTCAAATGTAATCTTATAAAGCAAACTACATAGAAAATATTTTGTTTCTAAAACTCATTTAGTGACTTCTTTCTTCATTTATGGTGAAAGCTATCTAGCCTATCTTGAGGGTGTGGGTGTGAGTAAAAAGAAGAGACGGCCACACCCACACCCACACCCTATAAGCTATCGAACCATTTCATCTGTTTACGACAAATATACATTATTTTCGAAAGAATGTATTCATAGTAGATACGCTTGAACAAGCAAGAGCAACTTGCACGGTATGGGTGTCGTCTCCCTTACTTCCATTCCCACACCCACCCTCAAAAAGTGAGAATTCATCTACCTGAAACAATGAGAGAAAAGATTCATGCCTATTGTGATGTTGGAAAAAAGAAATACAAACAAGCGAAGTAAAAATTTCGGCGAAAAGATTGTATTTCTGCTGCTTTCGGATCCATTCTCATTCTGAGAATTTGAAGATCAAAATAAAAAGCAATGAAACACCGATGACAGGGTGCGGGTGCCGGCGCCTGTGTGGGTGTGGCTAAGAATAAGGAGAACACCCACACCTACACCCACACCCACACCCACACCCTCACTCATCCACCCACACCCAGCCACAGCCGCACAAACGCCCTCGTGTTTTATTTTAACGAAGATTATGTCAAAAGAAAATTTTGTTTTTTTGTGTAGTAGTTATGGCTGTCAGACGAACGATACAAATTGTAAGTAGGAATTATTTCTTACCAGAAAGGAAAAAATTCTCTCGTTAAAAACAGAAAGAGACTACGTATCGAATAGCGTTTGTGAGTCATTTGTTATTTTTGTTTCATAGTAACTTAAATAAACTTTTTTTTCGCGGTAAAAAGAATATTATTACCGAGTTTGTTGATTTATATGTTTGGTATTATTATAAAAGTTGTATCGATTTCTTTTGATTTTATATTATAAAATACAAAATTTCAATCAATTTTTTATTCAGAAAAACATTGGCAAGTTGCTTTTAATAGAACGACGTATGTTTTGATCTTCAGAGTGGAACTGACATTATTAGTGTTTTAGATTTTCCTAGATGTGATTTTAAAAGTGATTGCCTCATTTTATTATCTGAAAATATTATTTCTGTTTAGACACTTTCCAAAAGTAATGTCGAGCCCTTCACGACCAACGACGTATGTCCTTCAAGTTTTATATTATTCATTCATTTTATAATGTTTTCTTTCTTAAAGACCATATATTAGTCTTGATGATGAACATACAAAGAATTTTTTCACAAGAGATCGTATACAAAAGCATTTACGAAGAGCAGGCCTAGTAAGTTCAATAGTTAGAAAGAGAATGAAATTATATTTTTTTTATAGCTGAATCGAAACGGACAAATCCTAACTGAAGCCGAATATCAAAGTAAACAAAAAGATGTGGTTATTGGACGTGAAAATCGAAAGAAAATCGATGATGCAATTACTGAAGTGTATGTAAAATTTATAGTTGTATGTATCAATGAACAAGTTCTTCATCTTTTTTATAGTCTTAACGATATGGCTAGAGAACATTGGGCTCATGCACGTGATTATACAGAAGATTTAGAGAAAAAGCTAAGACAGCAATTTCGACGAATAGAAGTATCGCTTTTTATCATAAATAATTATTTTATTTTATCTATATAGCTACAATTTCGTCGACGTACTCAACCAATTACTATTCGACATACTTATGATGGCCGAACTCAAGTAGTCAGTACTATCTGAAACATATGCAAGTTTCAATCATCATATTTATTTTTTTTGCCATAGGATCCAATTGACCTAGCAGCTAATAATCATTCCAATGTCACAGACAACTTAGCTGAACCATCTAACTCGTAAGCACATTGTATTTAAAGAAGAAAAAATTTGTCTCGGTTTGTAGAGCAACATTACCTCGAATTTCCACTCCTGACTCTCGACGACGACGAACTTCTCAAACGTCTAATATTCAATCATCAACTGCACTTGACAGTATTCGACAACAACTCGATGAACTTAAAAAAAGATTATCAATTTTTGAGCAAAAACTGGATAAAAATTCGAACACGAATGAAGCCGATGGTCGTCTTTCAAAAATTGAACAATTATTGGTCAGTTTCGAAGAACAACAAACAATATTGGATAGAAAATATGTAGACGAAAAGCAACGTATAGATGAACTTTATCGTCAATTTCAATCATTGAATGGCCCAACAAAATTCTCTGAAATAGATAAGGAACACACAGAACATTTGACTCAAACATCGACTGTTATCAGAGAATTACTTGATCGTATTTTAAATCTAGAAACATCTTTTCGTAATTTACCAAGTGGATTGTCACACGATGCAATCAATCAAAAAAGCACTGCAAATGAAAATAAGATTACTGACAGAGAACATGCTTTTGAAAGCTTAATTCGTGATATTGATGAGAAAATGAAGAGAATGGAAATACAATTTACTCAACGACTAACAACATTAGAAGGACGTCCAGTTTCTCTTACTCGTACTGATGTTGAGCAGTTAATTCAAAATGAAATACAAAAGTTAAAACAAACCCAATCAAATGATAATGAAAGGCAAGATTTAGCACGTGAAGCAATGATTAAAATTAATGAGTTACAAGATCAGTTGATCGTATTAACTCGATCAACTGAAAATTACATTACTAAACATACTGTTGAAGAACTCATTAATCGTGCAAAGTTTAGCAAAGAACCAATACCACAAACGGACACTAAATTTGAGCAACGTCTCAATGATCTTGAGCGTCGATTAAGTATTTTTCCTTCACCACCTAATCTTGGTTCAATTGAAGAACGTCTTACTCGACTTGAAAATCGTCCACATCACATTAATCATCAGCAAACGCCAGCGCAACAAGATAAACCTATAGAGAATTTGGAAAAGATTCAATCACTTCAGAAACAAATTACTGAATTAAATGAACGAAAACTGGACCAACAACAAGTTTCCCAAATGCTTGCCGACATTGAACAAAGATTACAACAACAATTTCAAAACCTTGCGGATAAAATGACTAGCCTCCTTAAAACCAAACCAGATCATCAAATAGTCCATCAACTTATTCAAGAAAGCGAAGCACGTGAAAATCAAAATATCAATACATTACAACAATCCGTCAATGAGAATCAACGTGCCTTAAGAAAAATACAAGATTATTTAAGTAGTTTTAATCCTAGTTTAAATCAACAACCAACAACAACGCCAACACCACAATTAGAAAATAAACTCGATTCTAAGAAAGATTCGGTTACTGATGTACTAAACTCAAAAGAACTTCAGGCAATTATGCCATTTATTGAATTTTTACCAACATTTGATATATTTGATGAAAATGAATGGAATTAAACTTATTCTTTATTTTTCTCTTTATGAAAATAAATTTATGATAAATCATTTGTTCATAATTATTTTAAAACCATATTTATCTAATCTTTCAGGTTCAGTTTTTAATAATGTTTCTTCTTCCATTGTTGGTTTTCGACAACCAAATTTTTCTTCATCTGTTTCATTTCGAGCTCGTATTGTTTCATCTTTAAAACAAATTGCTGGTCGTCGAAAAAAATCATATGGGTTCCAATATTCATCTTCTTTGTCATCTTTATCATTTTTAAGTTTTAATTTACTGACAAGTGCCACTGCATGAGCTACATTCATTTTAGACGGTCGACATACTGCATTAACGAACACATTTTGTATATCTGTAAGATTAGGAATATCATCCGCTGAGAGGCTTGTAAGACAAATTAAAAATAAACTAACTCCATATTCAACAACTGTTTGTATGATTGTTTGTTCAGCTTTGTTAGTAATACGGTGTTTAGTTCGGCTTAAACAATGACCGCATCGTTTGAAACAACTAGCACATTTAGTACAACAACTTTGTTGTTGCTGATTGCTATCGGCAGCCGCAATCGTATCTTCTTCAGACTTTGTCGGAAATCTTTTAATTTGATTTTCATACATAGTAGTTAATTCTATAGCAATTTTATTAGCTGTTTCATTAAACATTGTTTGAATATCTAGACTTCCCATATGATTTAATGTATTTTCAATTCGTGTTTCATCTAGTTTTTTAAAACCAATTTCACACAGACCAAATAATTTCTTGCCATATTCAGATCCAACAGGTGCAAATTGAGACAATTTCCCCAAAAGTTTAAATGCCCACGATACTTTGGTAAACGTGCCTTCTAATGAGTGTGAAAAAATGCCTGTACTAGCTATACGAACACCATCGAACAAATTGCATAAACGAATGACTAAAAATTGATAAAATTCTTGCTGTGCAGGTGAATCAGTAAAACGGTTCATTGCCTTCTGTATCATTTTAGCCTTTTTCAGTTGATTTTGAGCATATTCAATGCGAATTTCATCGAAACGACATATTTGCTGTATATTTGATTTGTGACATTCATCAAGTAATGTTTTAATTATATCAGACCAATTTCTTTTAACAACACATTCGTCAAATAAATCACTCATCCCCATAATATATTCTGCTTGATACTTAATATATTCTTCCATAATGGATACGGGCATATTTCCATTTGAGTATTTTTTATCAAGGCGCTGAGCCCGACACAAGCTGTTAATGAAAAGGGCAACAGAATCTTCCATCAGCGATTCCTTTGAAAGTGTACGTGCAGTTTTTATATGCCCACGTGCTGATTTATGTAATGATAACGAATCATTTGAATATGATGCTTGTTTTTGTAAATACTCAGCAATTAATCGATGTAAATCCGCTTCTTTTAAAGTATCTTTACCTTTATTATTCTTCAACAAATCTTTTGCTTCATGTATTCTATTTTTATAATAAATATAATATTTATGAGTAGTACCATTTTTATCCGGATAATATATTGTTTTATGATCAGATGCTAATGGTAAAGATCTTCTTTCAAGTTCCATTGCTTTATATTGATCATAAACAGCTGCGTCATATCGACCTAATGTATAATGAAGCATACTACGTGCATAAAATACATCTGATTGATTTTTCTTAAGTTCAGTTGATTGATTGAAATCAATTAATGCTTGATGTGAATTATCTAAAGCCATATTGGACATACCTTTACGAAATAATATTCGGTCAGTAATATTCGATGCACTTTGTGCTGAATTATCTAATGCATGTTGAAAATCACGCAATGCTTCTTCATGTTTTTTAAGACACCCATAAGAAACACCTCGTCGAAATAGAATATGATCATTAAATGTTTGAGCTAATTTTGATTTGTTTTCATTTGGTTTCGTTAAACTATCAAATTCCCTGAAGGCATCCTGATGTTGACCTAATTCATTATATGCACAACCTTTAATAAATGGATCTTTACTTTGTGCAAGAACTATACTAAGATCTTCTTGTGCTTTAGTGTAGTTTGCGCAACAAGCATAAGCACGTTCACGATATAAATAATACAATTTTTGTTTATCTTCTTCAGTATTTGTACTAGAGTAAATGGCCTTAGTAAAATGTTCTATAGCTGATTCATATTGATTCAATGCTGCATAAATAATTCCCATTTGAAAAAGTCCTTTATGCATAAGATTCTTTAGTTTTGTATCACTTTCACATTGTTTTAAATAGTGTCGATAATCATCTAAAGCTGAATCAAATTGATTTGCTTTAATTTTTGCATAACCACGTTTATATAATACCGATAGTTCATGTTTAGGTGATAGATTAATTAAACAAATAGCTATGTTAAAATCATTAATAGCTTTTTCGTATTCACTAAGATGAATATATACACATCCGCGATAGTAAAAAGCATCTGCATTTGTTGAATCTTCAGTAATTAATGACGTAAATTCTTTTTCAGCATTTCCATATAGTTTATTTCGAGCATATTCAAGACCAGAATCGATTCGTGCGACAGTTGCCATCTTAGCTAAATATGTTTTGTTTCTTCCAACAAACAGAGAAAAAGAAAGTCAAAATAATTCTAAAATTTCTATATACTAGGGGTGCTGGCTTAATACTAGCATTACATTAATGCATAAATGCTAACTTAACACTAACACTAAAGTAATAAATTAGTTGTCTAACTTAGTGCAAAATAATTAGCATTTTTGTAACACTAATACTAATACAGCATCCCTAGTATGTACTCGAAAAAAATTCAAGCAAGAAAAGAGGGAGTAGGTGTGAGTGTAAGATAAAAACAATACGTCTACACCAACATCCATCGTCAGTCAGCTCGGTAATGATATTCTTTTTACCGCGAAAAAAAAGTTTATTTAAGTTACCATGAAACAAAAATAACAAATGACTCACAAACGCTATTCGATACGTATTCTCTTATTATAAAGTATTCTCTTTCTGTTTTTAACGCGAGAATTTTTTCCTTTCTGGTAAGAAATAATTCCAACTTACAATTTGTATCGTTCGTCTGACAACCATAACTACTACACAAAAAAACAAAATTTTCTTTCATCTTTGCTTCTATACCTAAACCATCACCCATCCACACTCACCCTCAAAAAGTGAGAATTCATCTACTGAAAACAAAGAAAGAAAAGATTCATGCCTATTGCGATGTTGGAAAAAAGAAATACGATGAAGTGAAAGAGGATGTGGGTGTGGGTGTGGGTATGGAAGCCAAAAAGATCACACCCACACCCTCACCCAAAATTTTCACTCTCTCTATATGCTGTCTTTTTTATAGATATATATATATCCATATCGTAACGTCATCTTTTTCTTTTTTAATTTATCATATATTGAATACATACACACCAATCAACTTTTTTTTCCCTCTTCATATTGATTGGTGAGGTGTGTGTATTATGAAGAAGTACCATGCTTTCTATTTCTTTTTCTCAATAACGTATATTGAGCGAGATATGCATATTCATTCATTTATAGTTCTCTTGATTGATTCAGTAGACATCCTTCTCATTTCATAATAAGTACGTATTTAATTTTTCGTTGCCCCTCCTTCTCAAAATAAGTCTGCTTTGATCAGAAAGATAGTCATTAAAATATACACATGAAACGCCAATTTGAGTGTATGTCTTTTATAAACAATTTACTTTTATGTTTGACATTCATCTCTCTTCTTAGGAATACATTTGATTTAACTCAAGTTCAATAATCATGAGTTCATTATCAGTTCATCAATGTATAAAATTATTGCATAATAATTTGGAAATCGAACCAGAATTAATGTATTGTGCAATAAAAGAATTAATAAGTGGTTCTACATCCGATGTATTAATATCATCATTTCTAACTACCTTTCATCCAGATAAATTAAATTCAAATTTAATTAGAGTTGCAATTGAAGCATTAAGAGAAGAAGCAATTCCAATTCCATTTAATCAGAATGTGATGGATATGGTTGGTACAGGTGGAGATGGATTAAATACATTTAATGTGACAACTGCATCTAGTATAATAGTATCAGCTGGTGGTCAAACATTTATAAAACATGGAAGTCGTAGTTCCTCATCGAAATGTGGTGCAGCCGATATATTAGAAGCTGCTGGATGTAAATTAAATTTAACTCCTGAACAATCATTAAAAATATTAAATCAAACAAATTATTGTTTTATATTTGGTCCTATTTACCATCCTGCTTGGAAATATGTTAGTACAATACGAAAAGAATTAGGAATAAGAACTATATCTAATGTCGTAGGACCATTAATAAGTCCATTGAATTGTATTGGCTATCGAATAATTGGAGTTTATAATTATAAATTTGGAAAAATATTTGCTGAAGTATTAATTGATTTAGGAGTAAAAAGAGCTGCAATCATTCATGCACATGATGGAATGGATGAAATTAGTTGTTATGAAAAAACACATATCTGGTTTGTTGATAATAATCAAATAAATGAATTTGATTTATCTCCTGAGGATTTTGGATTACCTAGACATGATTTATCAAGTATAAGAGGTGGTACACCTAATCAGAATTATGAAACATTATTAAGAATATTTAATGGAGAAAATTTAGCTCAAACAGATTTTGTATTAATGAACAGTGCTTTTGCATTAGTTGTATGTGAAAAAGCTAAAAATTGGAAAGAAGGAATACAATTAGCTAAAGATATTATTCAATCGGGAAAAGCAAAACAATTATTAGAAAAATATTCTAAACTTAGTCAAACAATTAGTGATAATACTGTCATTTATCCTTTAATTCCTTCAATCAATGATTCTCATCCACCGTACGTTAAAATATGTGGAATTCGTGATATCGAATCTGCATTATGTGTTGCTAATAATGGTGGAGATATGTTAGGATTAATATTTGCAGCAAATTCGAAACGTAAAATAACATTGGAACAAGCAAAATTAATAGTAACGGAAGTTCATTCATGCCAACATAGGCCATTAATAGTAGGAGTATTTGCTAATCAAACAGTAGAAGAAATAAATGATATAGTGAAACAAGTTGAAATAGATTATATTCAATTACATGGCAATGAAGGATTTGATATTGTTACAAAATTAATTAAACCTGTTATTCGATCAATTCCAGTTATTCCAAATGAAACAACTGCAGAACAAATATTAAATATATTAAATCAAGAAAAACAAGCTGGATGGAGAATTGCAGCTGTTTTATTAGATACGAAATTACCTCAAAGCAATAATGATGATGGAGGAACAGGACAAACATTTGATTGGAGTATAGCAGCAACAATTGGTTTAGAATATCCTACTATATTAGCTGGTGGTTTAAATCCTGATAATGTTCAATCTGCTGTTCGTATTGCAAATCCGTGGGCTGTTGATGTTGCAAGCGGAGTGGAAAAGGATAAAAATTCGGTTGAAAAAGATCACGAGAAGATTCGTCAATTTATTGCTAATGTAAAATTATCCCATTAATCTTATTTCATAATAACATCGAAGTTATAGATTTAATTGTTTTTAAATAAAATAAAAGATTTTAAGATTTCACTTATATGTACGATTCTCTATTCTTTATACCAGAGAAAAATGAATTCAATACGTAAATGTAAGTTTATTTATTTTAAATTCTATTGATATATATAGGTTAACAACAAATAGCTAGTTTAAATAATTATAAAGTTATAGTTTCTTCTTTTCTATCTTAACGTCGAGAAGCAGCAGTAATTGTTTGAATACCAACAATAGCGCGTCGTCGATTGTTCATAACACCAGGCCATCGACGGCAATCAATTACATTTTTCAATTTCTCTTTCACATTTGGTATTGTTGAGAGACATGCAAATGGCAAGAAAATACATGAACCATATCCCAAATAATCTAAAATTAGTTCTTGGATATTTGCTGGTATTGGTTGAAGACCAGATGTTAATCGAAATAACGGATCAATTACGTCAGGCACGTTAAACACAATGCAAACAAAAGAGACGCTCACTAGTTGTAGAACCATTTTACGATTTTTACGCCATTCTTCTGCTTGCTGATGCATACGTCGCTTGTGTACAATAACACGCAAAATAAGAAGTATGCTAATGAATGCTTCTAGGAACAAAGGAAAGATTTCATGAGCAAGATATTCGTACAGATGAAGCCAATTAGGAATGAAATCAGGATAACACACCCATCCACACCAAGCACTTTCATAATCAAAATCATTTTGACATGGATAGAAGAAAATAAAAATTATATAATATGTAGTGGAATATATTAGAATAAGTGCCAATGGTTGATAGTGGAAAAGCAGTTGTCCACGCTTCGTACGCACCAAGTGTGCATGGAAAACAAGCATATGACCTGCCAAAAAAAAAGAAAAATAGTGTTTATCTTTTAATTATTGAATGTGCTATCTCAAATACTCGATCATCTAGTGACTAGAAACATCTCTGATTCTCTTCGTTTAATAACGTCAAGCTGATGCAAATAGTGAAATAACTTACGTTCCAGCGAAGCCCAAAGCATTACAAGAAAGCTGGTATAATATGCCCAATAGTTCATAAAATTCCAAAAATAACATGTTGCTGGTATTGCTGGTTGTACAAAACCTCGATGTAACCAAGTAAGAACCAGAGACACATCAAAAATTAATTGAAGAAAATTGAATAGAAGCAGAACAAGTATGACATGATTGTGAAGAGATTTTCTCTGAACTTTATTTGTAAGAATGTGAAAGAAAACGAATAGATATACAGGTAAAGATAATACTTGTCCAATTTGTAGAATACTGTACTTGATGCGACTAAATTCTGGTGAATCTAAAGAACCTGAATCGTCCGAAGTGTTACTGTTTTCTGACATGCTAATTTACAAATGTTTTTATCAGAAATACAACAGTCTTTCTACTTCGTTAAGAGCAATTTCTTTTTTTATGCTTCATGTCATAGATTAAGAATACAACAGGTATTAAATGGTTTTGTATTTTCTATTTCCGCTTGTCGTACTCAACAATCTTCATTTTTTTAATCATCTTTTGTTATCAATTATGTTAATTATTTTTTTGGAGCAATCCGTATTAAGTCCTCGACGGATGTTTTTTTTCTCATTATTTTATTTTTGTAATCGTTATCTGTTGTCATTCTCTAAGATTTGTCTCTTTCTTTTTTTTTTGTTCTTGTATGTGTTTTTTCCAGGATGATTATACCGTACTTATTATTGATCAAATTCAATCATTGTAACGATTGTCAAAAACTTAAGAACTTCCGCTCGCACTCACTCTGAATAGAAGAAAAGATTTCAAAAGTTTTAATATGAAATTTTTTTAATGTGATTCGTACAGAGTTCAATGTACGATATTAATTTATTCATAAATCTTTCATAAGGAAATTACAATAATATAATGAAGATCAATAGAATCTAGAATGACGTGTGTAATAACGCGGAATGGGTGGAGCTATAAGTATGGGAGGTGGACGATATCTAGTGACAGGACGCACGATGCGATGGCGACGCCGACGAAGAGGAACTGGTTGCGAAGGATATTTTGGTACCACTACTCTTCGTTTCACTCGTATACTGTCTTCATCGCGTGATATAAAATAACCGACTATTGCTTGTTCTAATTCTTCGATTCGAGCACCTCTTGATTGTAGATCAAAGAGACGCTTGTCTCTCAAATACAGCACACCTGTTCGCTTGTTTCGTTCAAGATCTTTTCTTGGCGAAAACTGATACTGTGATAAAATTGACCTAAAGAAAATTGAGTATTCATATCAGAATAAAACTAGTTCTCTCTCTCACAATCGACTAGTGTAATTACGATTAGCTCGACTACCATGCCAACGATGATACAGATTCACATCGACATAACCTACAAGAGTACCATTACCAGCTGCTCTAGCAACCCCATCACCCCAGTTCGATACTTGCATCCGATAGTCCCTGTGTAATCCACGAGGAAATGTTTCTTCAACACGACCTAAAAGAGCATACGCGAAATGAAGATCACCTGAACCAACGATACAAAAATCAATAAGACCACCGATGGCATTAAAAGTATTTCGATGCATTGCCCAGGCATAACCTTGGTGAGCATACCAGTGAGAACGATGCGGATATATCGGCTTATTATGACGAATAGAATATCCAAAAGAATGATCTCGTCTTAGAATTTCTTTTCTACCGCTGGGTCCCGTAAAATAACCAATTTTGAACATTTGTACAATGGGATATCGATCAAGAGCCTTCATTGTCAAGTGAGGCCAATTGAGATGCTATAGAAAGAAATATATACTTCTCAAATTAGAAAAAAAAAAGTTGGTCACCTCAAATTCAACATCAGCGTCGATCCACGCAATTCGATCAATGATCGGTGGTAACTGTTGAACGGCAATATTGATTAAGTTCTCTTTCATCCACATAATGGATGGAGCTATAACTTGAATATGTCGTGGATTGCCAGGTCGTGTCACTTCAAACCGTTGTGGTGCCAAACCAAATCGTGTTGCTGACTCGAAGACACATTCTACAGTGAATAAATTGACACCAGAACGTGCCATGTGATCACGAAATTTGTCATATCGCTCATATCGACTGCGATATCGAACAGGATTGAATATAACAGATACGATACCCAAACGGGATAAATCATATTTGGGGGTATACATTCGAACGATATGATGACTGAGAATATATTGATAGTGTTTTGACTGTTCTTTACTATTTTTTCAACGATAAGAAATCAATTTCATCTTTCGTACGGCTGCTAATAATGAAGTTCTGCATGACTGACGCGTTTATTTGTACAGAACAAAAAAAAAAATGAAAAAGAAACACATAGATTTATGTCCTTATTTACGTATACTATCAAGCAAATTTTGGCAATAACGAGAATCAATTCATTAAACACATTCTTCTCATAGAATCATCAAATATAAATAAATATTATATTTTTCTATTGCATTATTTATCGTTTTATGTTATTACTAATTTAATTATAAATAATCAAAAAAATTATGAAACTCATTATTGATATTTTATTTCTTATCTTTTATACAAACCAGTTTCTGAAGATATTATTTTTATTCTTTGTTTTTGAAGAATGACAATATATCAGATAATAAATGAGAAAATATTTTCATCAATTAGAAACTATATGAAGATAAATTCTACTCGTAGAGAAGTATAATTCGAGAAGTTATTTTTTAAATCAGTATTGCGCGTGCAAAAATAAAGAAAAACTCAATCTTTCGCTTTAGAATGAACTATAACATACTTTCAGTACTATCTGATAAATCTTGAAAGACATTTGTGACTTCGAAAAAAGAAACTATAATACTTTGACAAATTACTGCAAAATAAAAACATTCGGCTAGATAAAAATTAACAGATTTCTCTTACGAAGAATCTGAATCATATTCAAACAATGACATCTAGTCATTTATTCATGTCTTTTACCAGATGTAGACGTTCTTGATATCGTATTTCCTAGTCAATCGATCAAACCTTGAACATTCTTGAATTGATAACAAAAACCATCATAAAGATATCATCTAATGTATTAATGAAAAGAAAATAGTCATAGCTTTGATTCTATAAACGTTACCATTTAAAATGATATAAACTTAAAATAAATTCTGTAGGAAATCTTTCTTAACCATTAATTGATGATTTCATATAAAATTATTCAACATACTGAAGGAAGGGTGTGAGTGTGGATATGAGTGTGGCTGTTCTCCTAATGCACACCCACACCTATCCATCACCCTCGGCCATACCCACATACTCAACTTCACTGTAAAAGAAATTTACGTGTTTTAAAGTATATCCTAATCAAATATAACAGAATGGTATGCATACTTCTCATTCCAACTTTTCCCTTCACAGAAACTTTTTATAATAAGCCTGACTCAAAGCGTTTTCAAAATTAGTAAAATAAAAAAAAAGTAAGTGACAAAGTATATACATTCCACAGAGTAGTGTTATTAGACAGTCAACCCCAACATTCTAAATGTATAATCGAAAAGTTGTATACAAAGAATACTTTGTAATTAGCTTTACTGAAAAGATTTCGAGAAATAGATTTTAGAAATCGATAGAAAATTTATTCAGCTAAGTTATTTCTAAAGAAAATTTTTCAAATAATGAAAAATAAAAAAAAATTATAATCATTATATTGAAGCTGACTATATTCTCTATACATTTGCCCCGACTTACTCTATGTAAACCGTTTTTTTTTGACATATTTTTATTTAAACAATAATTTATTATTTAAGAGAATACATCTTTGTATTAGGAAAATAGTTTTTGACATGATCAGGAATTGAAGATATGCCATTTATAGATAAACAACGTAATTTTGTACAATTGATTTGTGTTGCTTCTCTTTGAAAATGATGAGTCACTCTTTCCAGCGAACGATACGTAACATAAAGAAAAAGATTATTTGACAAACACATTTTTGTATGATCCAGAAATAGTTCAATATAATCATCATGAACTTTATTAAGGATAAGTGTAGTAAGATGAAGATATTCAATAATTGATAAATATTGATTATCATAGTTTGATTGTATACATTGTTTATTAATTTGTGCTTTTTCATTAATTATAGTTAATTTCTTCATCAATGGAAATGATTTTTGAATTCGAATAAAGAATTCATGTGCAAAAGGATATTCATCGTATAACGATACTTCACGTACATATTTAAATAAACCACCTGGAAATTTATTTGATATATTATTATAAAATTCCAATGTATATGGATATGAATAAATAAGACATTGATTATATTGTTTTTCTGGAAAATAATCAATGCAAGAAATTATTTGATTATTATATAAATATTTAATTATATTATCATTATTTTCATTTAATGGTGAACTATTTTGAATAGGAAGAGTATTATGTGAAAAAATGTTTAATATAAATTTGTTTAATTGTGACATATAATTAATAATATTCATTTTTAATTCATTCATATCAATTAATCCTTTTTCACGATATACTCGAAGCAACAAATCAAGTTTTTCTAAATTTAACATTCTATGTAAAAGTGGTATAATCAGTTTATCATAATCATCTACATCGATATCACAATGTAAAGAAAAACATCGTAAATTTGGTAATTTATCCTACAAATAGAAATAATAGAGACATAAAATATTAACAAAAATAATCTACTTTATCATGAATTGTTAAATTAGTAGTAGTGATATGATATATACCAATATCAAGTGTATGAAGTTGAGGAAAATGTCCATCAAGTAAGTAGAGACAATCGTTGAAATTTCGTGTAGATACATATAGTTCTAATAGAGTTGAAGAAATAATAGTCGGAGGTGATAGCGAAAAAGATAATCGTCGAAATGAAACAGAAGATTGATCAAAATTCAAAGACTTTAGATTAGTAAACTTAGTCAAGATTTGTGTAAATATAAGTGTATGCGTATCTTTTGTTGCTGTTTGATTAACGGTGCCATCGAAATTGATAAGAAGCGATGAAATTTGATTTTTAAATTTAGCAATTAAACAAAATTCATCTAAATTAAACAAAATATTTATTAAATTCAACTATTTTATTATCTTTTTTTTTCTTGAAAATACTTCAATCTATATGTATCACACAGATCGTGATAGACAAAAGTAAATAATTATTAGATTTGTGAAACATGATTGAAAAAGAATGATGAACTATATTGAAATAACAATTTGGTATACTATTCTCCTCTCAATACAGATCATTACATATTTAAAGTCAGACAAATTTTATCGAGAGCTTTTAAGTCTATAAATTATATATGTTTTGAACATTAAATATTGAAAATAATCGAATATATCTTACCAGTAAAGATAGATATAGCTTTGTCTATATCAATATTATATAGACCAAGTCGATTTAAATTCGAATAATTCGTAGCAAGAAGTATACGTTCTATGGAAGTTAATTCAAGATCAAGCCAATTGATTTTATGATGAATCGAAGGTAAAATTTGTAAACAACATTGATCAAGTATTGAATCAGGCAGGGCATAATGAACAGAATTATTCGATGAATATTTCATTAATGATAAATAACTTGTAAAAATTGGATCATGTACAATTCGATTAAACCGTTTATTAATACCTATTAAAGAGTTGAGTACTTCAACATTATCCAACTTTTTCAAAATATTTAAAAGAATCTCATCAGGTAAATCATTCAGTTCAACAAATAAATGCTTCATCTCTTTCGCAATCGTTCTTTTTTTCTTAATTTATATATATATATGTTCTATTTATATATTTGACCGATGCCGTCAACAAAAGCAACGATGCTATTTTTATTTGATAATGTAAATAGACGACAAAGTAATCAATGAAAAAAATTGCATTCTTTCTTCTTTTTTTATTTTTTTATCAAAATGAACATAAATTCAAGAACAGAATTGTTTCTTGATGATTGTACATGATGTAATCAAGTATATTGTTCTTCTCTGCCATATTGAGCACGATCAATAGATTGAAAAAAAATCAATCAATTCTTCTATCCAGGTTGAACAATCCGGCACGGAAACGGCCGGTTTCGTGGTACTCCGGAGATTTTATGGAAGTAGTATTCACGTTGAACAGATTCGGTAACCGATTCCAGGGTCGAATTCTTGGAATTTTCCGGCAGGGTTCCTGTCAAAAACGGTGAGTTTCTTAAGGGTTTTCACCAAAAATTCACTCGTGATTGATTTATTAATCTTAGTAAAATCAAGAATCTCGAACTAAAATATATATTAAATTTTTTATTTTGTATTAAATAAATCTTACTCCATTATTTGAGTTAATGATGAAGTGGTTTTTTATTAGAAAGTATCCAAAAAAAATGTTCATCTGGTCATAACATGAAGAAATTTTATCTTTGTATAACCACAAAAGCAAACGAAGAAATGGATACTGTTCCATATGAGTACACCAATTAATAATATTGAATAAATCTAAAAAACGCACAAATAGTCTTAATGTTGAAATTCAGAAAAAAGCTTGTTATAAATTGATTATGTAAGTTTTTTTAATCTTGTGTATGAAATATCTACTTCAAGATATAAGATATTACATTTTCACCAGACGTTATCATTAGCACGAATATGTAATGATTTGATTCTTTCTTAAAAAGTACCTTAAATATGAAAAACGAGTTAACCAAATCCAGTCAGAATTCTATTGGTCTATATGACTCGTTATTTTATATGATCGGAAGGCAAAGAAAATAAGATTTAAAAATGAAAATTTTCTAATGAATATTTCGGTCAATTTATTTTATAAATCTAAGTATGAACAAAATCTTTAGTTTCATATACAATTGATGCTATTGCATTTTAAAGATGTCGTTATCCAGGTCAAACAAGCGCGATCGTAAACGATCGTAATACGGCCACAGGTAATACGGCAAAAAAACGGTGAAATACGGTCGTATATTTTCCGGATACGATCGTATTCAATCGTTTACGAAGTTCGTAATAATCGACCTGGGTAGTGAGATCTCTAAATTTAATACGCAAGCATATTTTGAATACATAAAAGAATAATACTGATATATTCATTGAAGAATTTTCTCTTTTTTCTCAATTAAAGTGCTATGAATATTAATAGAAATTTGAAGTTTACAGTTGTCAATGAAGAAAATACTCAAATGATGACTAGTAACTTTATATTTATCATTCATTATTCAGTTAGATCTAGTAGATACATTGATGATATTAATAGAAAAAATCAATTTGTGCTAAAAATAATAATTTATTATATGAATATATCATTTCATTTTACAATTGGAAGAAAATATTTTTCTGACTAATTTTAATAGTGATACAAGAAAATTTAAATGTTTACTTGTTTATTTATATTATCAGAGAGATTTTTAAATATCATTAGATAAACAGGAATATTTTCAATATTTATGATCACGTTCAAGAATATAATCACGACGTATTACAAGAAAAAGTTGATATCCTAAATTAATACCCAGAGATATATCTACAATACAAAAAAAAAGTTTCTTTTTTTTAAGTTTACTATTTGATTTATGTTTTACTCAAAAATAGATTATGATAATTCTCTAATAATTCAATTTGATATAAAAATAAATTAAATTAGTATGTTTTAGAAATGTATTGATTAATATTTTCTTTCTTTTTCTTGATGATGATTGTTTTAATCGATAAGTTCTTGTCTTCATTAGAAAATTTAACTAAGAAACTTTATTGATCGAAAAAATCATTCGTATTTTAGGCCTCGATAAAGTCATATTACAAATTTCGATAACGACTTCGCTAAACAAAAAAATAAAACATGCACCATGTGTGATCAATACCTCATATATTTTCGCTCTCTCTCTCTCTTCTACTCATATATTTTATTCAAGTTGTCAGAAACATCTAGAGAGCTAATCTATCTACAATTTTATTCAAATTATTTTTAAATTATATATTTAAATTTTTTACAGAAACATGTTAAAAGAGAACAGATCATGGTCTACCGTTTTTTTTATTACTATTTTTAATAACATCTCTATATAATACATAAGATACTTTAGAATTTCATTGTTTATATCTTTATAATCCTGAATAAAGTGAAAACCAACCGGTATATACTTGACAATTTTGTCTAAAGAGAGAAATTCTTTTATTGAAATTATTGAAAAAATTTGATCTTCGTTACAAATACACTTCCAACTGCAGAAGTTTTCACAATGAAAAAGGGTTCTTAACAGATTTGACCAAGTCTATTTTGCTCAATAATTGATTTAATACCCTTTAGTGGTACTATAATCCAATCTAGACGATAATTTAATTCATAATTCAGTTCATAAACAGCTTTTTGTAATAAAAACGTTTCCAATAAAATTTGTATATCTTGTTTATTATTTGGAATAAATGGTGCATCATTAGTCGTGTCAAGGTAAGATTTAATGAAAAAACCACTAATATAATGAAACCATAATTGAATAAATGGTAATAATGTGTTTATATCTTCAGATTTTCGTTGAGGATTCAAAAATAAACTTCGATATGCCGCATAATGAAATGAATGAATCATTCCAGCTACATCTTTTAAAGGAGAATGCTTGGCTCGTCTTTCAGTAAAATGAATCGCTGGTTCACCTTCAAAATCCACGATTAGAAAATTATCTCCAGTAAATAATACTTGTGCTAAATGATAATCACCATGAATACGAGTTTTAGTTACATTTATTTCTCGACTAGAGATTCTTTCTAGTATACGAATTAACTCATTTTTCATTGATAAAATTTCTTTGGCTTCTTCTTGAACATCCTCGGGAAGTTTTTGTAAATTTTCTTTTAAATTTTGAAATACTGTTTCAATCAAAGAGTGAATGGAAGCAAATAAGGAATGTTGATCATCGAGAGAATATTTCTCGGGATAAAAAGCGGAGAGTTCATTGTTTGACGATAAAGCTTGATGCATTTGACCAGTACGATGACCTAATAAGCTGATTAATTTCGATGTAGTTTTATCGAATAGTTTTTTCAAATCTTCTGGTATTTCTTCATAGTCAAGTGGATTAGTTAAACTACCTCTTAATTCCTTATTTATTGAAGTGATATCTGTATGCGAAAGAATGTTTAGACTAAAATCATCTAGTCGTTCCAGAATATAAATCCATCCATCACTAATACATGAAATATATTCCTGAATCATTCCTAATACTATTGTTTCTTTACCAAATTGCCGTTGAATACTACCAACATATTTTGGAATGTGTCGAAAACTTGTTTCATTATTTAAAAATTGGTTTATTTCAACATCAGAATTGATAGAGCGATCAACATTGCGATAGATTTTGAGAAAGAAATCTTGATCATAAATAATAGAAGTATTACTTTCTTCGGTTATAAATATTTTTGATGTCGAATTTAATTGTTCGTGAACGTATCTTTTCAAATTTGGGGTACTTGTAAAGACTAGTTCACCGCTCTTTTGTTTTATTGTACAATTATTTGCCAAATTGGTAGCCAAAGCTTGTTGCGATCGACGATCATATACAGCATCGTACAATAATCCTTCTTTATTATCGATGTTTATTAAGGATATGATCGATTGAGAATAATTCTTTTGCAATTCAGAAGAGATATCGATTGGACTGAATGCAATTGGTAAGTGATAAATATCAGGAGAGCCATCATGATATGATATTTCTAGCAGAAGAAGATAAGCACTGTCTAATTCAGTGAACGGTAAAATGACATAATCAATTATCTGGATGCTCTTCAAAGCATGTCCTTTCCCTCCAAACCAACGCATTTTAGTCACATAATTAGGAAGAATTTCATTTTGGAGTTTTTCTTTAATTTCTTTGTCTTCTACTATGTCATTCCACTGTTGTAGTTTGATTAGAGTTAGCTGTTGGTTATTATTCACTTGTAAATCCATGATCTCAAATAAATATCTTTGAATTAAGATAATTCCTGAGATGAAGAATAAACTGTATACTCTAGAAAATAAAATATACAATACAGTCAAAGGAAGTGAAGACAAAACATGATTATGTTGAAAGACGTTTTTGTTGAGCTAATTCTCATTCATTGATAAGGTAACATCGATTAAATACATACTGAATAAATATGAAAATCGTTTTTTTCCTCTATGTACATCAATATAATATAATAGGTGTTTTCGTGATCATTTTATGCGTCATTATTTTTTTCTGTTTCTTTTAGTTTGGTCATTCGGTATATTTTTGTTCTCTTACTTAGCTACAGATACGCATTCTTTTGGCTGTATTATTTGCCACGTGTAATATAATCAATGAATCGAAACATACAGTTTCATAATATGTGAATAATAATCGTTAAAATCCGAAAATATAAATCAATCGAAATAAAAAGAAGGAGTATAAACAACTGTTTGAGCAGTTCCATTGAAAGTAACTTCATCTTGATGCTTTCTACATAGACTAATAAATGATATCATTGTGAAGTTGATGTCACTAGTTGACGTTCTTGGATTTATTCTTTCCAGATTCTTGTTTTTCTTGATCGATCAGATAAAAGTTTTATAAATTTATTATTATCGAAAACAATCACTTATGAACCTTCTTTTAAAGATTCTAAGTTGAATAATAAATTGATATTAATGAATTCTCAAAATAATATATAGTAGAGATGTGTTATCTTATTTTTATTTGGCTTTATAACGAAGACAAATTATTTCCTATAATCGATAGATAAGTCTATTCTGATCGAAAAAAAAAGAACTACATGATTAATCTTGATGTTCTACATGCTTCACAAATCATCTGTTTCTCTGAAGATGGAATAAACCATCCTTTACATTCGAATTTTTTGCATTTAAGTTCTTTAATCAAGTTCATGTAGGATAGATCAATTTTTCCATTTGATTCATTGAAACAACGTGCACAATCACAACTAAAAAAGAATTCTTCTTTTAATCGTTGTTTTCTTTTTTCTTGACTCTTTATAATTTCATCAGGATGAATATCTTCTTTTTGATAAAGTTCATAATCACGTTCCAAATAACTGTAACATACTTCGTCACCTTTTTTTAGTGAACGTGTTGCAAAATATACAACATCACCAACATGAAGATTTTCTCGATCTTCTTGAACTGGAAAACGTGCTAAATTTGGTGAACATGAATGATTAACAAAAGCAGCAGATGGATACATTCCCATTGCATATGTTTGAGGTGGATAAGTATATCCTTCTAATTTAAAAGTTATATGAAACAATGCATTAATCTCTTCAATACAAACAAGAATAAATACTTTTTGTAATAAAAATTTGATAATATTATTAGGAACATTTAAAAATGAATATGAACGAGTTATTTCACTAAACCATTGGTCAAAATTATTTATTTGAACTTCTTCAACATTTGTACTTTTTGGAAGAAATAATTGAATAAAATTAATTAATTCATCATTATCTTTTATTCGATTAGGAATTAATTTCATTAATATATATTCAGTTAATAGTTTAGCTATGATTTCAAATTCATTTTTCTTTTCTTGTGTGAATTCATCAAAATGTGATAATGATATCCAGATATCATCAATTGACATCTCGTTTGATTTTT